CCAGTTACACCTAATTTCTCATCACCACCACTGTCACCTTGGCAATCCAACTAGTTACAGGCATACCCTTACAGTCATTACTGCGACCTCATTTCATTTGTGACACAGAGCTTTGGATATTGATTAAAAAAAAAATAAGTAAAAAATAAAAGGAAAGAAAGAAAGAAAGAAGAGTAGAAAGTCTACTAACTGGATGCTAATTGTTGAAATTCACAGGAAGATGGATTGAAAAGTTGAGAAGAAAATTAAAAACAAAATGTGTAAAAAATCATATTTTGAAACAATTCCAAGGAAAATTAACCCCAAATTTAACTAGGTGGAATTTAATAAGATTGAGCAAAACCAAGACTATCTGCCATTTTCCACTCCTTGCTGATAAGAAAGAGACCATTAAGGTATCCATGATGATGTCAGATAAAATAAAAGCATATGTTATTGATAAAGAGACCAGAGTGGTCACCAAAATAAATAAAATTCATGATTCCTCTGGACAAAAAAAGGGCCAGGAAATAAAACCATCTGTTTTGAATCAGCCACCCAGAAGAGAAGTATCCCCACAGAGATAGAGACCAACTGGACGCGTTCGTCATTATAATTTCTGTGACATTCATCCAGAGAAAATTTTATATCCAAACATTAATTCAGATTCTTTTGGATACAAGTGATAAGGAAAAATGAATTACTATTTTCAAGTGACCATGGACAAAAAAGCTATGTGATCTGTTTGATTGTAAAAAAAGTGAATAGACAAAGAAAAGATAAACTTTCATTTTAAGGAAAGTGGAAATAATTTTTCTTTCTTTTCCAATTTTTGAGTGGTCTGGTTGATTGAGAGATCTCAGCATGAGGCAAGTTGATAGAGAAGGTTTAATGATTGAAAATCCCTTTTGTTTTCGCTACATCATCTGGAAGTTGGATTTGTCACACCAGCCCTGGGAGCAGGCTGAGGTTAGCAGCTAAGAAAGTGGGAGAAGGAAGAGAAAGACATTAGCAATGCTTCTATGGAGCTATGATGCAATCTGAGGCATAAATAGAGTTGGAGTTAAGGGGTGATTTGATATTTCTGGCCACTCTCAAAAATTGGCTGGACAACCCCAAATTTGGGAAAATGTACTTTTATTTATAGAAATTTAGAAAAAGTTGATGCTTAGGGTAAAAGAAAACTGAACCCAGATGCAGAATTCCATATAAGTTGAGGATTTTGAATAGCTGACACACACAGAGAAAAAGATTCTTCACACTAATTCTACTGGAATCCATATCGTTTGCCAAGACCTCCTGCCAGTTCTGAAGACCAGAACATAGAAATTTAAGTTACTACTAAAATAAGTTGCAGACTCCAAAGGGGCTCCTAGTGTCATTTGATTATACCAACAAGTAGGAAGGGTTAAAACCACTGTATACAACAAATCATATATAAACCAAATTGTTGTTACATTTTAACCTGAGTTAATGTTTGGATATAAAATTTTCTCTGGATGAATGTCACAGAAATTATAATGACGAACGCGTCCAGTTGGTCTCTATCTCTGTGGGGATACTTCTCTTCTGGGTGGCTGATTCAAAACAGATGGTTTTATTTCCTGGCCCTTTTTTTGTCCAGAGGAATCATGAATTTTATTTATTTTGGTGACCACTCTGGTCTCTTTATCAATAACATATGCTTTTATTTTATCTGACATCATCATGGATACCTTAATGGTCTCTTTCTTATCAGCAAGGAGTGGAAAATGGCAGATAGTCTTGGTTTTGCTCAATCTTATTAAATTCCACCTAGTTAAATTTGGGGTTAATTTTCCTTGGAATTGTTTCAAAATATGATTTTTTACACATTTTGTTTTTAATTTTCTTCTCAACTTTTCAATCCATCTTCCTGTGAATTTCAACAATTAGCATCCAGTTAGTAGACTTTCTACTCTTCTTTCTTTCTTTCTTTCCTTTTATTTTTTACTTATTTTTAAATCGAAGTTGCAGTGGTGACTGTGAGGGTATGCCTGTAACCCTAACTGATTTTTTACCCCAAAGGATTCTTGTTTTTTGTGTAGCTCCAGTCCTCATACCAGTCTGCTTCATCAGTGATCTTCTCCTCCACTCTGAGATCAAAAACACAAGGTGACAGAGGAGTGAATGGTCATGAATAGACAAATTAGACAGTTTAGTTGAGTGGAACTGTGCCATCATTATGATACCAGTGACAAAACGAGTCACATGCTAATAGAGTGAAGAGTCTGCTAAATGGTAACCGCAGCAGTCTGAAGGAACCTGAGGTCCAAAATTAGTTACCACTGATGAGAACCAACCACTGGGGTTACATGTTGGTACTCAATATATGAAACATTCCGCCACAGACCTACCAGCTACACCTAATCCCTCGTTGTCACTGCCGTCAGCTTGGCAACCTGACTTGCTACAGTTATACCCTTGCAGTCACCACAGTGACCCCATTTTGTTGAGACTGAACACATGAAACATTCCATCACAAGTTTACGAGCTGCAGCTAATCCCTCATCACTACCGCTGTCACCTCAACAACCCAACTTGTTGCAGGCATACCCTCACAGTCACCACTGCAACTTCGTTTTGTTGAGACTCAACACATGAAACATTCTACTACAGGCCTATCAACTACACCTTACCGCTGTGACTTTGGCAATCCGACTTGCATATCTACGCATTCACCACTATGATCCCAATTCATTGATATACTAACTGAACATTCCACTACAGGCCTTCCAGCTACATCTAATTCCTCATCTCCATTGCTGTCAGCTTGGCAACCAATGCACCCTACTATGAATAAACCTACCACCGTGACCTCTGAAAAATAAAAAAATATGATGAAAACCCTTGCAAGCAGGTTCCCAACTAGTGTCAGTTGGCAACAAAAATAAAGTGAGTTGTAACAGAAATATCCCTCAGTACACTGAGAAAGCTTTGGAACATGTATTGAGTTATTTTATACTTTATTTTTGTCTGCCAACTGGACGCTAGTTGGGAACCTTCTTGCAAGGGTGATCATCATATTTTTGATTCTTCAACCTCGATCGGTCAACACGTACATTAAACCCAACCAACAACTAAATCCACTCCTAACCTATCCTGTGACTGTGGTTAACCAACCCAAGAAACCAGTCAACTCCCGGCACTACCCTTACACCTAAATGCTTCCCTAACAATCAGCAACCTAAATTGACATTATCTTCAATTTTCTAACAACTGTAAATATATCTTGTATATTAAACAAATGGCAACTGTTTGAAAATCTAATCCTTGTTATTCCTTTTATTTTGTAACCAAACACTCACTGTTGAAATGTTCAGTATAAAAACGGAATGCAAGAAATGTAAATACTGTAACTATGAGCATGAAATTGGCAAGAAAGTGCCAGCTTTTGGAAAAATTTGCCATAACTGTGGAAGAAAAAATATCATTTTCAGTCTGTATGCAAATTTAAAATGAAAATAGACATTACAGAAAGGGTGGAAAAAAGAGAGAATTGACAACATTTTTTTAAATACAAAGACCTAAGGAAAAGAATCCGTTTGAAAAAATTAAATTAAATGGCATGACTTTTTCCAATACAAATGGATATGATGAGTGAATTCAATCTGATCCCAAGAAATTTCTGGGAACAGATGTGTTATGGTCCTGTTCCTTGTACCACGGTGATAGTCCAAGGTAGAACCAATAAAGAAGAACTCAAACATTTATACGGAATAACACAGATATATTACAAACAGGAATATATACAGAGAGATAGAAAGTGTTAGTACGAACAATCAGGTTTAGTAGTAATTGTCTGAACGCGACTCTGTTTCGGTCTGCCTCTGACTTGACTGACTGACTCGCTCGCTTTGACTGACTGACAGACTCCTGACGGACTTCACTCCAGACTTCAGACTGAACTCCCTGCTTCCTCTTGAGGCGTAGTATATATTACGTATAGAATAGTCCATTATGTTATTATGGGTAAGGTCCCATAACAAGATGGGTAACTAAAATTGAGAAAAGTCATCTGAAATTGAGACAATTTGATGGATCTTCTATAAAAACTTTGAGATACTTCAATGGAACTTTTGAAACCTGTGATTGATTTGAAATTATTCTCATTACAATAGTGGAATATAAAAAATTCATGACTGCTAGGTATAGATATTCTAATGATGGATACATCATACATCGAAATTAATCAGCAGCATAAAATCAGTGTTGAAAGACGTTATAATAAGTGTTTGGTTTTGAATGGAAATGAATAATGAGAATTAGGTTTTTTTTAAGAATGTGTAATTGTTTAATATACATAAGATTTCTCACAAATGTGTGGTTGGATTTGCCAAGGTGACAGCGTTGGTGATGAGGGAGGCTTGTAACTGGGTAGTGTCAACCTTGAGGGGTTATAAATCATGATGGTTGGCGTAATTGGGCCTGGTGGTGCCAAAGCTGGGTAGTTGATCTGGGAGTGAAAATGGTTGAGTTGAGACGAGCACTTGTAATGGCGGTGGCAGCAGCAGCACTCTACATGCCAACTGGTAGACCATCGACCTACAACTGCTAACAGTTGTTATGGGAGACCCGCTTTTAACCAGATCTAATTGCAAAAGTGTGTAACAAAAGCAAGAGAGAAGGGTCCAAGTTTTTGAGAACAAATGCATGAGAAAACTCTTTGGCATTTTCTATTGGGAACAAAAAAACAATGAGTTTGTATGGAAAAGTGTTGAAAGTTTTGTGGGACACCAGGAACCTCTTCTTGCCACTGTCAAATGGAGAAAAATGATGTGATTTGGACACATTACAAGGCATGACTCTTGTGCAAGACCATCATGCAAGCCACTGTTGAAGGTGGGTGTAGGAGAGAGCACTGACACAAAAACTGGTTGGACAATGTTAAACAATGGTCAGGTACAACTGTACCAGAATTGCTGATGGCTGCCTTTGAGACACTGTTGTGGAAAAGTGTTAGTGTGACTTCTGTATTCAGAACCACCCTACAATTACAAAAGTCAAGAGGATGATGATGATGATGATCTATCTATCTATCTTTCTATCTATCTATCTATCTGTATCTGTTCAATATCTCTCTATCAATCTATCTATCATTACAAGGCACGACGGCCTGTGCAAGACCATCATGCAAGGCACTGTTGAAAGTTGACGTAGGAAAGTAGACCAATGCAAAAACTGGTTGGACAATGTCAAACAATGCACAAATATAACTGTACCAAAATTGCTGATAGCTGTTGTTGATACACTGTTCTGGAAAAGGGTTAGTGTGGCTTCTGTATTCGGATTCACCTTGTGTTTACAAAAGTCAAGGGGATGATGATGATAACAAAAACATAAAAAGGGGTATAAAACAAGCATACAATTAAATAAAATAGTACCCAACTTATTTTGAATCTTATAAATTATCCACAAACTATTGAGCATGAAATGTTTTGCAAAATTTGATTTAAAATCAGCCTTCAATAAAATACAGATTGATGATAAATTAAGAGAAATTACAACAATAACCAGACATATAGAATTATTAAGATGAACAAGAATGCTTTTTGGAGTGAAAACAGCCAGTGCCATTTTTCAGAAAGCAATGGATGTGATGAATACAGATAGCCCAAACACGCATATACGCATATATTAAGGTTAATCTCCGCCTGACAACAGAAGAGGTCATGTGGGGAGTCTTGAGACATTTTGGGAAAGCAAGTCAAGAGGTTGACTGACCCAATTACCTGTAGCAACAGACGTCTAGACAAAATCTAGACAGGGGACCGACGTAAGGTCATGAAGCAGCAGGAACTGGAATTTGCGCCAAAACGCAGGACACGTGGGAATTAGAAAATTACTTGGAAGTCAGTTGCTGTCTTGTCTTTGAAGGAGCAAGACTCAAAATCGAAGCACTGATAACTTATGAATGGAAAGATGAGACTCATTTTGGTAATGATGGAACTTGTCCGATTCATCCTAAGCAACTCCAGATAAGAAATATAAGGATATGTATTTCTGTTTGTTAACTCCAAATTGAAGAAGATAAATCAAATTATTTATCACAGAAGACACAAGGAAATTTGTATGCTGAGAATACAACCTGCATTTGAAGAAAGAAAAGAGAAAACCAGAGAGAAGAAAGTATATATCTCTGTTGCAGCCGAACCGTGTTTGAAGCCGAATTGTGTAACGAAGAAGAAAGAAAGAAAAGAGAAAACCACAGAGAGGAAGAAAGTGTATATCTCTGTTACAGCCGGACCATGTGTGAAATTGGACTTGTGTAAAGAAAAAGAAAGAAAAGAGGAAACGTGAGAGAGAAAAGAAAGGACAATGAGTAAAAGAGAGAATTGAATATAAAGATAAGTAAATATATGTTTTGGACCCATGTTAGAAAGACACAGATGCATCCATAAACTTTATGTTCTCACATACACCTTTCCACATGTCAAAATAGAAATATGTAAATCCTATCCCATATCCCATGTCTTTTGGTTATGTGTTGATTTCTGCATTCGTAGTTATTCATACTTATTTTTTTTATCCGTTCGGGTTCTGTCGAATCCACTTGGATTTGGGCATATTTTGGTATCCCAACATAAGTCTTGAGATTCTGGTCGTCGGATGCTTTACTCATGCATATATTTTTCTTTTATTTTAATATTTTGTGTATATGTACATATTAAAATTCTTATACCAAAACTTATTACGCCTTATCGTTCATCCTTGAATTGTGAATCAGTATTTGTGTTGAAACTGAAGCGAACCTGGAAAAAGATTACTGTTTGACTATCCCAATCAAACAGTGTTCTTTAAAATATTTTTATTTACTAATTGTCCATTTGTCATGGTCTAAAAGAGATAGCCTGTATCTTTCCATAGATGTGATAATGCATATATCTCCTGGTCAGCATATGATTGCATTATAAATTATTCGTCAACTAGGGCATATGACAATGGAAAATGTGTTAACTGATGAAATCTGTAATATGATTATTTATTTATTTTTGATAGTTGCCTTGGTATTACCACTAAAGATGAATTAAGACAAAAAACAGAACATGTATTATCAGACAATTATGTGCCATGCATGATACACACTTGGGCAATCATGTATCTTTCAATACATGACTGAGAAGGCAGATTTTTTTTCCCTCAGCAGGTTGCTATTTCTTTCTGTGGTAGACCAGTTGCCATCCAAAGCTATAGAACCCAGTCTGTCTTGCTATATACCCATAGCTGTGGGTAGAAGAAGAGGATTCATACCTTTCCCAAGGGTATTACAATGTAAGTGGACGTAATGGATTTGACTGGAATTTGAACTCGGCTCTCCGATTTGAATTCCATGTGTTAAACAAGTTAAAAAATATGAGGATAACAATAAACAGACAAATGTGAACTTGATTGTGATACAGTATCATATTTAGAGTACCAAATTTCAAAAGATGGTATTACACCTGATCTAAGGTTAATTAAGAAAATTTCAGAGGTATCTATAACTACTAATAAAAACAGAAATAATCCTTTTTAGGATTGGTTAATTTTTATATAACTATTAAATTGCAAGGACTTAAACATTTGCTGAATTGTGGACAAAGAATAGTGAGTTCAAATGGACTCAAAGGCAAAGCTTAGCATTCAAGGATTTAAAAGAGATACTTGCAGAAAAAGCCATTGTAAAAATCTTTGATCCCAGAAAGGAGCTTATGTTAACTACAGATGCAAGTGAGCTAGCTGCGTCAGCAATTTTATCACAAGAAGGCCATCCAATAATGTACCTTTTAAGAAGATTGATAGTAGCAGAAATAAATTATTCAAATATTGAAAAAGAGGAATTGGCCATTGTCTGGAGCAGAGACAGAGCTCAAAGGTTCCTATTAAATTTATACCATAAACCTCTACAGTTTATTTTTAACCGTAGAAAGGAGCTATCAAAAGTTACTTATCCCAAGGTTTTAAGGTGGGCAATAAAACTAATGGCTTATGATTTTGACATTTGAAAAGAAAGTACAATGCCACATATCAATGAGCTGTCAAGGTTACAATTTAATAAGGATCAAAAAGAAAAAATGGAAATCATGAATGAAGAAATATTACATTGGGTTAAAACTGACTTATTATCTCGACAAAGATTGGTATCAGAAACTCTACACAATCCAATCTTAAGCAAGATTGCTGAGAGAATAAGAAGAAACAGGTAGAGTTAATGATGGAAAATGGTGTTATATGCAATGGAGATGTGATAGTACAACCAGAAAGAGTAAGAAAAGATATTTTAAAAAGTGTACATGATGATGTGCACTGTGGGATAATGGCTACAAATTAGGGCTATGCTGTCCAGGGTATTATCACAACTTAGAAAGATATGTACATAAATGCCCAAAATGTGCAGAAATAAAGAATTTTCAACAAAGGAGAATACACTCATGGCCTAAAAAAATGGAACCATAGTCTCGTGTTTACATGGACTATGTACACATTAATGGCATGGGACTATTTCTAATTTTAATGGACTCCTTCTCTGGATGGCTTGAAGTCATTAAAGTTAAAGATAGAAAAATAACAACAATAAAACACATACTAAAAGTGGGATTTTATAGAAATGGGGTCCCTGAAACATTAGTATCAGACAACGCACCAGAATTTTGTGATGAAGGTCGATGTAATTGGTGGAGGTGGATTGGCTACTTCCCTTACAAAACACCAGCATATCACTCACAATCTAATAGGTTTGAGTTGTTTGGTTTGTTGTGTTTTATGACAATCAACCTCAATGGTTTATTTAATGTCAACAAAATTTTTATTGCTGGTAATGTTTTTCTTCAAAAATCTATTTCTGGGAATATTTTTCCTTGAAGAAATCTATAGCTGGTCATATTTTTTTCGAAAGAATGTATAGCTGTTTGTATTGCTGGTATTTTTTTTAAAGTATTGCTGATAATAATTTTTCCTTAAAAAATTATTGCTGGTAATAATTTTTTTTTTTTTCAAATATTTCTGGTATTAAAACCTATTTGTACACAAATTTGGTTGTTAACTATTTGCCCATAGCTGGGACCCTAACAGGTGCCACCACCCTGAGTCAGGGTGAACCTGGGAACACCAGCAATTAAGAGGTGGTTTCACGCTCCTCAAAACCTCCTGATCAGAGGCCTTGCTGTTGGATGTAGTTTATCATCTTACCTAGGACGTGGATGTAGTTTATCATCATTCCCAGGATGCAATCTAACAGGATTGTGCAAAGCATGGTGCAGACAGTAAAAATGGGATTAAAGCATTGTCCCCAAGTAGAGATACTATAGACGGTACTTACCAATGTTACTGCTTAGAGGACAATTCCACATGTAGACAGATTGGAAAACCCATCTGCATTAATGAGAAGACAATTAAGATCTCCATTAACAAAATGTCTTACTCAGTAAATGAAAAGATGTGGTATAAGAAAGAAAAAGTGGCAAGTCCTGAGAGAACTAATTTCATCATGCAGAGGGGACATAAAATGGCCATTATATGAAACAAAGGAAAAGGTTAATGACTCATTCTGACCCAGAAATGATGAGGAAGAAGTTGCGACGAAAGAAGACCTTGACAGAGAAGAAAGGATGAGTTCTTCAGATCAGAATAATACAATAGAAGATGAGCCTATGAATGATAGCGAGAGTGACTCAGATATGAAAGAAGATGAAGATGAGGCCAAGATCTACATTAAAAAGAACAGGAAATAAACCTCAATGGGGAGAAGAGGAAAGAGGCTGTATAAGTTCAAGAACAATAAAAGCATTAAACCTCTTTGGTTCAGGGAAGTGTACTGGGATTGGTAAATAGGATTGTACCTATTTGCATAGATTAAAAAGACAAAAAATAAAGTGTATAGTAAAGAGCCAGGAGGAAGCTGACTGTTGATTATGTGTCGTAGAACAACACAATACAAAATCAAATAATTCTAGTCTATTAGAATGAAGGTTAACAAATCGCATTAGTTATTTACACTCTTTATATTGTTCAGACTATTGTCCTCATCTTTGTTATCATATTAACAATGTTTTGGCTGTTATACACTCTGTACTTCTGGTGATATATGTTAGAATTTTGAAGTAGACACTTTATTTTGTCCACCAGGGTAGATTGATCTAGTTCCACATGCCATGCCTTTTCTAGATATCTCAGTATCAGTTATCTCCCTTTAGTAACTCAAGTTTTTGTTCACCTCTGCCACAAGGCCCAGTAGATAAAAGCATTGGTTGAATTAATCCAGTGACTTTATTCAAACAGTTGTGAGTGCAGTACCTGGCCAGAGCAGAGATGAATAAAAAAACTCCAAAGAAAGCCAGATTGTACAATGGCTAAAATGACGTGAGTAAGATAATAAAGATGAGGTCAATAGTCCGAACAATGTAAGTAGTTTAAATGCCATATATATCCGTGTATAAGGCAACCTTTAGATAAGATGAGATAAAAAATATAGCAAATTTTTGTGGATTTATTCTATACCTGTGGTATAAGGCAACTCCTTATTGATTATGTAAAGATGATGTTATTGGAAATGTCGTTACTTACTGTATCCTTAAAAAATCAAAATAAAACAAAATAATAAAACTGTTTCTATATCATGTTGTTCATACACACGTCCCCTAAAAGGGAAACCATTGTTTTGTTTATGTTTCATCACGTGATCTCTTATGAATACTGATTCTTCTTCCTCTTCTTGCCCTATATCAAAACAATTAAAAACAGCCTGGTTTTCTAGTGGCCATTTACTTATACTTCATTGACAATAATAAATTTTTAATGAGAAATGAATATTATGTAATCCGAAATGTTATTAATGCTGTAATTAAAACCACCATTTATTG